TTTCGACGCCCAAACCTCGCGTGGTTCATTTGAAGGACAAACCCCTTTGGCAAAATTGGGATTATCATCATCCGAGTAGAATCGCCGTACTTTGAATTGATTCAAACAATTATACCCTTCTAGATCTTCCAGAGCCCATGTGAAAGTCTTCACCTGGATTACGGTATCTCTACAGAGGGAGTCATTCAAATCCCGTTCCCCCTCATGTTATTGGCGCTTGTTTCCTTTTCCTATTAAGCAAGATTATTGGATGAAATCATTATTTGGCCTTCAGTTTCGATCAATTCGTCTTCTGCAGAGAACGATGACTCCACCAATCGCGCGATGCATTAGCTCGCACGGTGTTAATAGTGTTAGTAGGGCGAAGTTCAATACGATCGCGGGAATCTTCGCCCTCCGATAAAAGCAAATGAAACTTCCATCTAACAACCACGTTTTGAAAAAAGGAACAGTTCAACATGCGTTATCATTCTAACTACACTCCACGCTTATGAATAACCTGATCAGCGGCTTACCTTTTCTCTTGCAGATGACAGCATGGAAAGAATAGATAGGCAGACTGCTTGCACACTTAAAGCTGGCGTCCAATCTTCTGATAAAATCGATAGACAGATGTGGCCGTTAGAATAGACATGCGGATGTACGGGTATGTTCTCACCGACGAACATAACCTGAACAAACTCCAAATTATCTAGTTCCATACATTAGATAGAATAAACATAAATATAGTATATAGTCATGATCCCAGCAAACGATAAGGCGGAGGGGGGAAGGTGAGATGGAGCGGAGCCAGAACAGTCTTTTTCGCCACTGTTGCGGATTCAGGAGGCATCACTGGTGGAAAAGGCTTTCGCAGCGCTCTTATCTGCGTCACTTCTGATAAGCTGGAAAAAGGGATAAAACGTAAAGACTCGCAGTAGGGAGTTCTGACAAAACGAGGAGAGAAGCCCTAGGTTTCGCTAGGAGCGAGGAGGAGCGAGCTTGGTGCCAGCTGGGCCATCTGATTAGTATAGACACAAAGAGCGATGGCTAGGTTCACGTCAAGGAACTCTTAATCGGGAACCTACCTGATCAGTGCAGCGCGATGATAAGCATGGCGATGGTGCAGCTGGCAAAAAGGGGAAGCGGTGTAAAGCGTCTGAAACGGGAAAAGGGGCAATCAATGAAACCCTCTGGGTCAAATACGAGCCTCCTTCCTCCTCAGCTAGCCAAGAAAGACCTTGTTGAGTTGGTTTCTACGTCGGCCATGCGCATGATATTGACCTGTGTCAAAATCACCGCGGCGTCGATCCATGCAATCATCCTGTCTGCGTGGTAGGGGTGCACGACTTACAAGACAGAAATGACAAGATTAAGTGAATTTTGTATTGAGGTGTCCCAGCATCAGCATCTGAGGCGTGGGCGTATTGAAAACGAATTGGAAATTCGGGTTGAGGGAGACTCCGAATGCAGTTTCAAGCCAGTTCTACAAGAAAGCAGAGAAATTTCGATGATTGTATAGCCCCGATTTTGAAAGGTGGGGCAGACGGTAACCAAGATTCAACTCGCTCGACAATTCTAGATGCTCGACAACTTTACGTTCCCTTAAGATACGCTCAACAAGCTAACCACAAGAAGAAGGCGAAACAGTCTACTCAAAATGCATGAAAAACAGTGGAAATAATGCAACACACAAATAATACAAGATACCGTACCTCTGGCGAGTTAAACGGATACTGCTGTGTAAATCGGAATTGAAGGGAGAATTTTTCGCCTTCGTACAAAGTACCCGTAGCACCTATCACGTCCACACGCCATTGTCTAAACAAATGTTGATGAATACAAAAGCAAACAAAGGAGCATACGGCATACAACGCATCGAAGAACCTGCCAGAATTCAACGTAATTCGTGAATTCGAAATAAAATTATTTCGGACAGAAGGGTGCTGGTGCCGCATACCACGCGGATGTACCTACATATATCAAATGGAGTCAACTCTCGGAAGTCACATCATCGGGGTCAACTTTCGGGATCGGAACACTAGCTAACATTCCTATGTCGACGTGAGGTGGCGACAGACTGCGCCCAAGCAGGTTGTTCCTGAACCAGAACTACTTTTCAGTTGCCGGCCATGCCAAAAAAGATCCGATAAACGGTGCAGTACCATTTGGTAGGGGGGGAGAAATCACATGGTACTCATCGGTGCCTGTACAGATTTACTTTGTCGAAATTGGAATCGACGGACGGCGGTTGCGCCTCAGAAGGGGCTAATGTGCTGCACGGTTTGTTCAAAAGACGTTCTGATGCCATAAAGCCCCATCATGCTATACAGGTGAGATCGTGACATGATACATTCTCTTTCGGTAAAAGGGTTCAGAGTAGTAGACTAAATGTGGCCTGACTCCACTTAGGCGCGGCCCCTCCCGAGCCATATAGTACCAACAGATTCACTACTGGTCAACTAATGGTATAGCGGGTTATTCCGCTTGCGGTGGAACAGAGGCCTTTGAAAAAGACGATTACGTCGAAACGTCAGGCCGCTAAAATAAACTGTTCCACCTAAAAACCTCGAGAGGCACAAGAAAACATACTGAATAAGAACAACTAACATGCCGAGGTTACAAAATGAGAGAAGCTGGAGAATATTCGAAGCGCTAAGAGACTGCTGAGAACATGAAAGGAGCGTAAAAACAGCAGAAAAAGGAGCTTACTTGAGGTCAGCGCTAGCCGCGTCCTTATTCACCACAATACCCGTCGGCGGTTCCGTTGAGAGTTGTTGCAGCTCCTTCATCAGACGTCGACTGCTCGCATCCAACGACATCGTGGAAGTAAGCACTGAACTTCTAGGCACTTTCAATATTTTACATTTCCAAATTTAGTAATTTTATAGAATGACGAAAAACAGGCGCTATGTGCCTTGGGAGGGTCCAGTTTAGAGCGTGATTAAGGCAGATCGTGTTCTGACGCGACAAAGCCGGGTCACTGCTGTCTAGGAGAGAGGACGCAGACACAGCGAGTTATAGCCCGCCTGGGAGAGTGGTCCCTCCTTGGATCACATAGCGCAAAAAAAAACAAATATTCCCAAGAAAACTCACACTGTGCCCGTACTTCTCAGTAGTATCCGTCGTGTCAAATTTCAAAGACGTCCCCTATGCTACGGAAAGTAAGTGATCTGTAAATCAGCAACCGCACAGTTCGGTTGTTTTGTTGTGAATGCGAGAATGAACGATTGGATAGATAGAACAGTGAGATGAAACACACTGATAACCACTGATGATAACACGAATGTGATAAAGGGTTAATTCGAAACATTTCTTCATCGATTACGATATACACACACCATGCACATATGTTCTCATACAAGATTACAACGGCACCAATTATCGATCGATGAAACCCCCTTACATACCACGCAAAACTCGTGTCAACACTTGAACGCGCTATCGAACGGCGCAATACACCTCTGTGATTCACACTGTTTTCGGCAGTTTCTGAACTTTGGAAGCGCCGCTTGCTGGCCAGTTATCTTATCTTTGGCGAGAACAGTTTATGGTGCCCAAGAAGAAGACCAGATGACGTAGCTGCAACACTTCAGTCACTCTAGAATCCACGGTTCACATGCAGAAGAGGCAACAAGGGGCAGTTCGGCTACCGCAGGAGGGGGGAGGGTAAGCTGCTTGCTACTTCCCACCTAAAGAGCCATTTTGCGAGCTTACAAGAGTTGCAGGCTTCCATTGTGGCCCGAAGAGCTCAGTCCAACTTGAAAGAGCAAAACGCTACCCCCTCTCCCCCCTCTGTCGCTGAGCTGGTAATTACGGTTTCAGGGTAAGTATTGTGAACAAGGTATGCCGGATGGGAAATCTCAAGTGAGGATCGTATTTGATCGCAAGAGGGAGAGTTCCGTGACTGGGCTGGAAAAAAGTTCGACATTGATAGGAAGAGTAACGGATTTTTGATTTTGGTTGATTTCTCGTGGTACCCCCATCCTTTCCTTGGTGCAGCGCTGTCAAAGTCCAATACAACTATTTTCCTACATTTGAATTTAGTAGTTGTTTCGTAACGACACCCCACCCCTTCCCGCTTCACGCCAGCTTTGTGGGGAAAAACTGGTCAAACCATTGAAGAAAAGGATTGCGAAGATGCTGAGTGGAGAAACTGAAACGGTGCCAGGTAAGATAGGAAAGTGGGAACACTTGGGAAGATGGTAGCTAGTATGGGGAGCAGAGGGGATCGTACCAGAGGGACAATTTATTTCCCGAAAATCTTCTCTGCCTCCGTGCCCTGATCTAGAGTACGTCCAGAGCCAGGGCACGTTGTATGTTGGGGAATCCCAGCGAAAGAAATCCTCCTCCCCGACGGCAGTTTTTTTTGGGAAAGAAAAAAGGGAACAGACTTATTGGAAAATCCCGAAAAGGTGGTAGGAAGTTGGGAAGTGTTCAGAAGATGGAAGGTAGGATGCGCGAGGGGAAGGGGAATCGTATTAAAGAAAAATTTTCAGAGAGAGATTGGATCTTGCAAGAATTTCTCCCAACAGCAGGACCTACCCTGCTCAAGGCACGTTCAAAGGACGACCCTCCACTACCTCTGTGGCCTGAGGGATATGATAGAAATATATACTTTACAAACTAATCAGTTCCACAAATTTACAGGATTGGTAGACAGTTATGGTGTGGGCGGGTTCATGCTGTTTCCTACGAGACGTCCATATCCAACGTCATTGTAAAAAACAGTGTAATTTTCGTACTTTCTCAAGGACTCATGACTCGATTCAAAGATGCGAAAACAAAAGCAGCCCCAAAAACTTGTTCGCAATTCCGAATACAATTAGCAGACTTTAAGGGTCACTGCACAATTTAGAGCGGTGCATTCGTTCTGGAGGAAGACTCACAAATCCACGATTCTATTCCCTGAGGTTCCTGGGCTCCAGAAATTGGGGCGGGAGGAGCCCATCAGGTCACCTTCAAACTTTGAGCAAATCAATCGCGGGGTCTGAGTATTGCTCGAGTAGCGGTACCTGGGAGTCTACCGCTAACCGTTCGACCTTTATTAGACTCCGAAATTCTATTTTGAATTTAACTGAATTAGGAGTTGCAACGGTCGGCAGTGAGCCCGTTTCTCCTCCAGATGCCGCTAAAGAGTGCTCACTCGTGAAGGTGGTGCTAAGCTAAACGTGGACGCCAGCGTCAGACCTGAGCGACAAATCGGCTGGCAACGCCAAAGTCGTACAATGGATCCAAATTTCATTCCAGTGATGCTAGGTAGGGCGTACCACAGGGGCGCATGAGTCAAGAGTCGACGCGTACCTGAAAACTGTCCACATGCGCAGAGAGAACGCACTAGATAGCGCAAAAGGACGATCATCGATCCAGAAAATGGACCTTGCACTAAAGGGTTAACATTCAGAAGAAGAAGAAGAAGTTGTAGCTCTACAACGACTAGTAGCAGGAGTGGTCGGTAGCGCAACGCTCAACTAGCGCGACTGAAGAGCTCAAGTAGCGAAATCAGGCAGAAATTCGACAAACTATGCTCGCTTCGTCTTCCCTTTTCCCCCACATCATGGCTGCCGCAAAACTGCAGCATCTTTCAGCGTGGGGCGAAAACAGTGCCTCTATTAAATTGATATAATAAAAAGTTTGGCAAACAGGCATCGATCTGCGAACCTGGAAACCTAGAAAACGGCAGTCAACAGACAACAGAAACAACGATTAGTTATTAAGATGATACCTGAACAATGAAAACTACCCGAATTTCAACAAGCTTCACACATATAATAGCAAAACAAATAGATATATTTCTATGATAATGATGTCTAGCCGTATGCCACACCTCGTAGATCCAACAGTACCAAAAAAAAACTCCAACGACGTCCACGTCTCCACCACTACCTGTCGACCGGATGAGTTGTCCTTTCCTTCATCATGTGTCAGCAATCTTGCGAAGAAGCTGGATGTTCTTAGCACTCATTGAGAAAGCGTGCTTCAGCATTACGTCGTTGCTTGAGCTGTACGCGGGAAGGACGTGGTGCAAGCCTCATCGTCGACATTGCTGCCGTGGCTTCTTCCATTTCAGACTGAATAATGTTTAGGAAAGCTATTTCTGATGAAATTCCGTGAATCATAGCTTTTGTTCAATTTCTGGAAGTGTTAAGCTCTACTTGATTGATACACAAAGTGACTCAAGGTTTGGCATTGTTCATAGTCTGCGACCTGGCGGAATTGGTTGGACAATCTCATCCGCGAAAAGGCTCTGCACGCAAAAAAACGCATCAATAAGGAAGCGTTCAGACTTGTAGCGCTACAGTACTGTACCAGACCCCAGCTTCCCTTTATGTTCTTTCTTCCGGTATTCAATCCCTTTTTCACTGTTTCTCATTTCTACCTGATTCTTAGCTCCTCTTTTTCACTTTAACATTGAATTTAAACAGAACAAAATTTAAACAGAACAGAACGAAAACAATTTCGTAATCGGGATCAACATGATGCACCACTGCAAGACATCAACATCAATAGCAACCCTGAGACTGAATAATTAAAGTCGAAAACGGTACAAAATCATTATCACAGTGTCCTGTATCAAAAACTACATTAAATTCAATGTTAAAGTGAAAAAGAGGAGCTAAGAATCAGGTAGAAATGAGAAACAGTGAAAAAGGGATTGAATACCGGAAGAAAGAACATAAAGGGAAGCTGGGGTCTGGTACAATTGGAGCGCGCTTGTAATTGTAGCGTGTTCAATTACAAGCGACAGCGACAATTGAAGCGCGACAAGTCTGAACGGTGCCTAACTGTGGTTATCGGGAGCTTGTGGTTGGAGAACGGTAGGACGTGTGAAAGATAGAAGCTGATTCTGATGAGGGCACTATATGCGAAATGACAGAAAGCGAGTCTAAAGCATGAAAGAAGGATAACTTCTTTCTTAGAGGATTACTTCGTAAAGGGGCAGTTTAACAGAATGGTGATAGCCTGTGCTTAACAAGAGTGTGCTCTATGGTCTCAAGAAGAAGCGTAGAAGTACTGTGAGAGTGCCGTTCATGTATTGTTGGAAAGAAACTGCGGAACTGAACTTTCTTCGGAA